AAACAAAGATGAGAGACACCAGTAGGGGGCTTGGAATGTCAGACCCCAGAGAGTCTAACTTCAAGCAAGTCAAAGGAAAACTGGTAGAGGAGACTTAGAAAGATAGCTCAGCAGAGGTGGCAGTAGGAAGAGAAATAAGTATACATTGATGGAGGTAAGTGGCGTACACATGAGGAAGGCAGGGGCACAACTGGGTACCAGAATGCTGCCATGTAAAGGCAGGGAATACAGGCTACCCAGCCAAGGGGTATTTTAATCACACTTTTTAGCAGACTTAATGTGTAAGCCTCCATTGGCAGGCACAAGCAGAAGTGACAGGTGTGGGTCAGTGGTCCCAAGTCTTCAGCTTGGGTGGCTAGCTTAGATATAAACTGTGGCTAAAAAGTCCGCATAGCATGTACAAGCAGAGGCCATGATGGCAAGGATAGGAAACACAAACAGAAAAACAGCAAAAATAAAGGAACTTAGGACCTTCTATGTAAAGATCAAAATGAGTAAGGAACTGCTGTACTGTGGTGAAGGAAAAGGAGAGAGGCCAGAAGGTAATACGAGCTGTACTTAAAGCCTTTCTTCCCCAAGACCTCTAAAGTTGTCCCAGTCATCAGCATCTTTTTCCTTTTTTTTAAGATTTTATTTATTTATTATGTATACAACATTCTGCTTCTATGTATATCTGCACACCAGAAGAGGCACCAGATCTCATAACGGATGGTTGTGAGCCACCATGTGGTTTCTGGGAATTGAACTCAGGACCTCTGGAAGAGCAGTCGGTGCTCTTAACCTCTGAGCCATCTCTCCAGCCCCTCTTTTTCCTTTTTTTAAAAATATTTTTTGTTGGTGGCGCATGCCTTTAATCCCAGCACTTGGGAGGCAGAGGCAGATGGATCTCTGTGTGTTCGAGGCCAGCCTGGTCTTCAGAGCAAGTGCCAGGATAGGCTCCAAAGCTACAGAGAGAAACCCTGTCTCGAAAAACCAAACAAAAAATTTTTTTGCTTTTTGTTTTTTGGAGACAGGGTTTCTCTGTATTGCTTTGGAGCCTGTCTTGGAACTCGCTCTGTAGACCAGGCTGGCCTGGAACTCACAGAGATCCTGCCTTCCGCCTCCGGAGTGCTGGGATTAAAAGGTTGCACCACCAATGCCCTGTTCTTTTTCCTTTTTTTGAGACAGGATCTCATATAGCCCAAGTAGGCCTTGAACTCATGATAGTCTGCCTGCCGTGGTCTCTGGAGATTTCAGGTGCACACCATCATCCTCCGCTTTGATTCCCTTGATTTTTCTGTCACATAATAGTGGTGATAAGAACACTGGAGTGCACGTGCTTGCTGTGTGCCAGGGACCATGCCAAGATCTCACAGCCACACTAGCCAATGGGTATTGTGAAGAAATCACCCAAAGTCACACATGTAGGAAGTAGCAAAGCTGGGCCTGGACCCGGAGACAATCCAACCCAAAAGCCTGTCTTAACCATTCTAAAACAGGGAAACTAAGTTATGCAAGGAGAAAATCATTTGCCTGCTTCAGTTTGGCAGAGTCAGACCCAGGGCCCATATCTGACCCTACTCTCAGAATTCTTTCAGAAGGCCATATTGCCCTTTCCCCTGTCTGTTCAGTCCACTGTTGCCAGGCCCAAGAAATTTGGGCCCTCCAATGGGCTCCCTGGTGTCTGATTAAATTAGAATGAAAGAACAAAGTAGGTGTTTGTTACAAACTTACACTCTCAGAGGAAAGGAAGAAGCTGCCGAGGAACCACTAACAAAAGTACAGAGAACCGGAATAATATAAAAGATTAGAATTCTAGAGATTAGAGTCTAAATTAGAATCTCCTTATTAAAGCAGTAAGCAGTAACCCACTTCCAGAGGGTGGGAATCCAGGAACCTCACAGTGGCCCATGGGTGAAGTGGGTAGCGATGAGGCCAAAGTCCCAAGGTGACAGCAAGACTGGCTAAACTAAACCCCCCCTCTGCCGCTTATAAACTTGGCTGTAGAAGTTAAGGAAGCTGCTTAGCCTTTCCAGGTGTCTTTATCTATAAAGAAGGGGTGACATAAACTGAGTACGGTGGTGTATGCCTGTAATGCTGTCACTCAGGAGGGGGAGGATCAGGTGGTCAGGGTCATCTGTGAATTACATAGCAAATTCAAGATCATCCTGAGATGTGTGAGACCTTACTTCAAAAAAAGAGAAGTTGGCTGGGCAGTGGTGGCACATGCCTTTAGTCCCAGCACTCAGAAGGCAGAGGCAGGCGGATCTCTATGAGTTCAAGGCCAGACTGCTCTACAAAGTGAGTTCCAGGACAGCCAGGGCTATTACACAGAAAAACCCTGTCTTGAAAAACCAAAAAAAAAAAAAAAAAAAAAAAAAGGAGAGAGAGAGGGAGAGAGTCAAAACATGTAAAGCCTGGAAGCTGGGCACAGCAGAACAGCAGGCTGGCACACCAGTCTGGGTTGGCTTAAGAAATGGTCTCACGGGCCAGTCTAGGGAGTCCCGGGTGCTACTCAAGTTTTAGAAAGCCATAGAATGGCAGAGCCCAGCTGGAGAGGGGGCAGGCAGGAAGTAGGAAAACTCATCCTGCTGTCGTCTTAGCTCTGGTGAGGATAGGGAGGCAGAACTAGGGAGAATAGATGACACAGATGTCCCAGAAGTAGAGCAGTAAGCTTGGCAACTGCCAAGCACAAGTTGTTCTCAGGCCTATAAAAGCAGATCTATTGCCTGCTAGATCACTATGATTGGGTATGAGCAGGAAAAGGTCCATGGGAACTGTTTAATAGGCTCCTTGGGAGAAGGTGAGATGGATTATATGACCATCTAAGAGGTTAAAATAACATACCTTATAGTAAAGATGTATCCCCTGGGGAAGACAGGGAAATGAAGGTTAATTTGTAGCATGTAGGGTTCAAGTTATACAACAAAAGATTGCTACCTACATGACAATTAGGAATTGAGGAAACATGGCTTCTTCAAAAAAATGAGTTATTTGGTTGGTTTCGTGGGGGCGGGGGTGTTGTTTTGGTTTGGTTTTTGGTTTTTCAAGACAGCATTTCTCTGTACAGCCCTGGTTGTCCTGAAACTCACTCTATAGATCAGGCTGGCCTCGGAACACAGAGATCCGCTTGCCTGTGAGTGCTGTGACTAAAGGCATGTGCCACCAGAAAACTGAATTTCTAAGATGGGTGTGGTACCACACACCTGTAATCCAATACTTCAAGGCCAGCCTGGGCTAAGTAGTGAGACTTTCACAAAGAAATAAGACTGAACTTCTGTTGGAGTTACAGTTCTGTGATAGACTTCCCCAGCATGGGTGGCACTCTGCCTTTGGTCCCCAGAGCCACCAAACGTAAGTGTGGCCATGCCCAGGATGGAGGAAATTGGGAAATTCTGTAAGCCCCTTCCCATAATTTAGACTAAGGAAATATTTAAAATGTAAGACATTGTTGGGCAGTCAGGAAGCTGTTAGTGCTACACATCTTGAGTCACCTGTTATTCGAAGAGACTCACAAGTACACCCAGAATAGTAGATAACAAGTTCCAGGAAGTGCCGAGAGCTGCTTTCAAGATGGCAAATGCAAACTGCTGATAATGTGAAGGCTGATGGCTTGGGGAAGCAACAATATGAGCAGCCTCGAGGCCTTGGGTTCTGAGCTGTGGGGTGCTAGGACATTCTCAGGGCGTTTCCCGCCAGCAGTGCCCCCACTATTACACCCTTGTAGTCCACACACCCGCATTCTCCCCTTTGGCTGTGACCCTGGGCTGCCCCTTTATCAAGTCCAGTGTTCCTCTCCCTGCTCTGCAGACACACACCATCTTCTCACTGCTGGGAGTGGACCACGCTTACGTCACCAGCATCGGCAGGCTCATTGGGATTGTGACCCTAAAGGAGGTGAGGTGACAGGGCCAAAGCCACTTCCACAGGAGAGGTGCTGGGGAGGGGTCTGAGGAGGGAGCAGATACCTGACTCTCTTACCTTTTCAGCTCCGGAAGGCAATTGAGGGCTCTGTCACAGCACAGGGTGTAAAAGTCAGGCCACCCCTTGCCAGTTTCCGGGATAGTGCCACCAGCAGTAGTGACACAGAGACCACTGAAGTGCATGCGCTCTGGGGGCCTCGGTCCCGTCATGGCCTCCCACGAGAGGGTAGTCCTTCCGACAGTGATGACAAGTGCCAGTGAACCTCACCGGATGGCCTATATTCCTTCTGCAAGCGGCAGCAACCTGAAGCTGGAACCCAAGTCCACTCTAGCTATGTGTCCTCCACCTCCCAGCGGTCCTATCTGGAATGTAACTCAACACCTACCTGCTGGAGGACCAGCAATGCCCTGGCAGGATGAGTTGGAGTCATGTGGCCCTTGCCCACTCTTTGAGAAAAGGGCAGAACTAAAATGGATTTATACTGGAACCTCCAATGACAAGATGTATATAGAAATTTACAAAGATTTTTATATTAATTTAATAAAACAATAAATAGAATAAACACCTAATTAGCCACTCATGTATAGAACACTTGCGCTGTTGGCTCATGTTTTCATTTTGGACCCTCTTACCTGCCCAAGCCTATGACACTCATTCCACAGCCACCTACTGACCCCTGTCTCCCAGGAATCTAGCATCTGCCAGGGGCCTCCATTGCCTGATAGCAATACCATGCCTGAAACAGGGGCCCCTAACACTGTGGCTACAAGCCTTCCATTCAGCCAAGAAAAGCACACCCTCTTTCCCAAGGATGGCCACTCCCTCATGACTGTCCATTCATTGGCACAAACCTTCAGCTACCCAGGTGGCCCCCTTGTGGTCCTCTGTGAAAGAAGAGCATGGCACTCCCTGCTCTGTAACAACCAGAGCCAGTCCTTTTTCCAGTTCCACCCTACTGAGAACCCTGTATGTGCCCACACAACCTTGCCATGCTGGTAAAGGGCCAGGGTTGAGGGGAAGGAGGGAACACACCCTTTCATCATTCCAGTGCCTCCCAGAGAAGATCGGCTCAAAGAACAGACCAGAAACCCCCTGTCTTCAGGGAAAAAAAAAGGTTTAGAGACAATGGCGAGGTGAAGCACAGCGGAGCCCAGCTGGGCAAGGGGGCCCTTAGGGGATGGCTCAATCTGTAGACTCCAGGAGGGCAGGAGCCAGCCCCACAGGTGGAGGTGGTTCAGTCAAGCACTGCACGTGGTCTTGGGTGAAGAGAGAAGCAGAGGAGAAGGGGCACAGGGAAGGGTGGAGGAGGCGGCCAGGCTTCCTCCTTCATTCCCACCCTCCCAGCCCAGCCACAACAACCCCCTCAGGTTCACATCCCAGAAGGAAATGTGGCATTTTGGATTCAAGAAACATGAACGTCACTGTCTGCCACAGCTGTAGCCATGCCCCAGGGGTCCCGGGCAAACCCCGGCAAACCCCAAGAGTGGAAGCAGTACATGCGCCCCTAGCCTGGCCCCTGCCTCCTCTCCGAACACTTTCATGCAAAACACACAATGGAGAAGTGAGTGCTCCCAGAAGCCCTCGGAGCTCCCGAGCCCACATTTTGGCCGCAGAGGCTCTGCCCCGGGCATCAGCCAGGGGAAACATGCCACCACCCAGCACATCTGGATCACTGGTCCTCAGGCTCCACCTCGTCCTCATCTAAGGATACGACCCCAGAAGAGGCCACGTCAGAGACTTGCTGCTGCCTCTCCCAGCTGCCTACAGGCAGTGGGCAGAGTAGCGGGTGGTCCTTGCAAGAATCAGGCTCCTCCTCAGTAGGGGAAAGGCAGGATTCCGTGAGTGGTGAATTGTACAGTGAGTCCTGGGCCTCCAGTGGACCCAGGCTGCGGAAGGCACTTTCCCGGCTCGGGGGCAGTCTGGCAAGGAGCAGCTCTTCACCCAACATCTGGGAGGTCATCCTGGCTGGGGAGCCCAGCAACCCATCCTCCAGGCTGCACAGACTAGAGCACAGGGTATCTGGGGACACGGTCTGGGAACAGTCGCTCTCGGGCTCCACAGAGCCCTGGCGCACAGGCCGGGAGAATCGACGACCTGTGAAGAGGTCCTGGAGGTGGGTCCCCAGAGGCCCAGCCATGTCTGTGAAGGGAAGAAAAAGAAAAATAGCTTTGCTGATCTCATTTCAATTCAAGTTGGTCAATGTGGAAGACACAGGACCACAGACCTCCCACCCAAGTCCACCCTTATCATAGCTGAGGGGGCAGGGGTCAACAGGGCGTGTCAGTGGGAGCCGGGTAACCCGAACAAGTCTTAATTTTTGATGCCTTAGTGCTGAATGAGAAATTCTAATAATATTTACTTTATAGTATCACAGCAAGAGTTTGGAACAGAGGAGGCAATAAATGCAGGCCCACTGTGTGGCCACACAGGTTGCTCATTACTCAAAGCAGTGAGGCTGACTTGCCCACGCTCTGCCTTAGGGCATCCTAAGCATTGGGCTGTGCCCACCAGAAAAAGCTACGCATTTTTAAATTTTTTCTCAAAGATTCCACACACACTTTCAAGGTTAGCCTGGGCTACATACTAAGTAGCCTGAGCTATAGTGAGGCCCTTTCTCAAAAACAAAACAAAACAAAATTTTAAAAAAGACCAAAAAGAATCAGAAAATACTGGTGGTTGAGGGCTCCACCTTGGCCTTAGCATTCAAATCAGCCCCCTCTGGACCACAGTGGCAGCTTCTTGCCGGCTTTAATGCAGGTTTGGCCTTGAAAACCTTGTTAGTTTTCTAGAGGAGTAACTAATAGGTGATCTTCAAATGCAAAGGGTTGGGAGTTTGGAGGCCAGGGTCCTGTGAGGCCAGACACCAGGAGCTACAGGGAAAGCTGGCCACATAGTCCAAGGAATGGCAGATGAAAGGGGAAGCTGAGCACAGCTGCACAGTCCCCAGGGTTGCAAACATTGGCCCAAAGCAAGACCCACAGGCTGGAATACAAAGATGCTGAGCTGAAGCCAGAATCCTGTGGAGGATTCCAGGCCCAGCATGCCTTCCTGTTTGCTTGGGATCTCTGCCCTGGGAGGTGCTGAGCACTGTACTCATCTGTCCTACCACAGCCAACCAAAGCCACCTCAAAGGCAATGGTACCACAGATCCTTCTAGAATAGTGACTATACTAGCATGTAGGAAAGAGGCCCCAGGTTCTCTGGGTTTGTTTCTTTATTCTGAGAACTTAAGGCCTACTACATATAGGGAGAGAAGAGAGCCAGTTCAATGTCTACAGAGGAGACCTAGCTGTTCCACTCCCAGCTGCTGGTTCCCCACACAGTGTCCTTGGGATGTCAAGGTCAGCCTAGGTAGTTTCCTCCTATCAGGAAGGCTACAGTGCTCTGGGAGGCTCACCACACCTACCAGGCAAGCCCACCCCCAGTGGCAGCACCAGCACAAAATGTTCCTCACCTGTGTCGATTCCGCCAGTAAAGTCCTCGTCGTAGGAGTCATCAGTAGAGTCATCACCATCCACTGAAGACCATGCTCGGAGCTTAGCTTCTGCAATCGCAAACTGCTCGGCCACTCCTATCAGAGACACACAGCATTCACTGTCACGGGAGCTGAGCTAAGACTAAGGCTTGATTTGCAGACAGGAGATGTCCCTGAGGTCTCTGGGCAGAGAGAGGCATGTGGGAAAACTCCAGCCCCCATGCCAGATCCAGTGAGATCAGAGGCAGCAGCTCCAGGGCAAATCTACAGGGCTAATTCCCTTTCTGCTACCCACCTGCTGCAAAGCGTGCTTCTTGTTCGCCCTCACTGAGGTCTGAATAGGAGGAAAAGGCTGATTCCAAAGCTGCGGGTGAGTCACTGGGCTTGCTCCAGCCCTTCCATTCGATGAGGTGGGCCACTCGGCCCTGGGCCATGGCTGTTGGCTTGGTCACGTGGTCCTTCACCACTTGGGAAATACCTGAAGGTGGGAAAGAGAAGTTGGGTTAAGGGCAAGACTAGGGAATAGCTTGCAAGGCAAAGAGAGTCAGTCTCTTCATGACCTTAGGGTAGGAAGAAGGGCTAGGATTGATTTTTAAAAATAGTTTTATTTTTATTTTTGTGTACATTGGTATTTTGCCTGCATGTATGTCTGTGTGAGGGTGGTGGATCCTGGAGTTAGACACTTGTGAGCTGCCATGTGGGTGCTAGGAATTAAATCCAGGTCTTCTGGAAGAACAGTCAGTGCTCTTAACTGCTGAGCCATGTCTCCAACCCTAAATCTCTCTCTCTCTCTCTCTCTCTCTCTCTCTCTCTCTCTCTCTCTCTCTCTCTCTCTCCCTCCCTCCCTCCCTCTCTCCCCAGACAGGGTTTCTGTGTGTAGGCCTAGCTATCCTGGAACTTGCTCTGTAGACCAGGTTGGCCTCAGGCTCAGAGATCCGCCAGCCTCTGCCTCCCAAGTACTGGGACATAAGGCATGTGCCACCACTGCCCAGCTGGGCTAGGACTGATTTGTAAAAACAAATCCCAGAAAATGCCCACAGGAACAGTACCACAAGACAAGAGGAAAAGAAGGAAGAAAGGAAGGAAGGAATGAAGGAAGGAAGGAAGAGAGGGAGGGAGGGAGGAAGGAAGGGAAGGAGGGAGGGAGGGAAGGAAAGGAAGGAAGGAAAGAAGGAAGGAAGGAAGGAAGGAAGGAAGGAAGGAAAGAAGGAAGGAAGGACAGACAAAGTGGGCAGAGGAACAGAAGGGTGCATACCATGCAGGGAAGATCTGGCCAGCGCAGCGATCTCCTGGATGGTTAGGGCTCTCCGGGACTTGGGCAGCATCGCGACTGTGTCTCCAACATTCACCTTGAGCAACACCATCAGAGGGTCAGTGCCCCTCCGACAGAAACAACCTTCTTTCCAACACGCTTCTGCCTATTCCAAGCTATCAGGGGGAGCTGGAAGAATGCCCAGATGGCACATATGCCCTAGTGGCTACTGGCATGCAGAAAAGGCTAAGAAGCAGGAGTTCATGAACTGTTCTCCGAGGGAGCAACAGAGACTCAGGCCCAAGGGAACAGAACTATGGCTGCGCCTCCACTTTCCCGGCTCCCAGCAGGGAAGAGGACAGCTGAAAAAGTGAAAATCGTGGTGTAGAGCCTCTGAAGACAGTGGTGGTGGCGCACACCTTTAATCCCAGCACTCGGGAGGCAGAGGCTGGCGGATCTCTGTGAGTTCAAGGCCAGCCTGATCTACAGAACAAGTTCCAGGACAGCCAGGGCTATTCAGGGAAACCCTGCCTAGAAAAAAAAAGAAAGAAAGAAAGAAAGAAAGAAAGAAAGAAAGAAAGAAAGAAAGACAGGGAAGGAAGGAGGACAGCTAAGGCAAAGACTTCCTCAAGGTACTCCCTCTCTTCTCTGTCATTAGATATATGTCCCTGCTCTTTCTAGGCTGCCTACCAGAACCACACATTCAGCATAACCAAAGCCAAACCAAACATTCTTTTCCTTACATGTGGCTTTGCTTTCCAGCTTCCCATTTATCAACCACTGTTCTCCATTTCACTGGGGTCCCTATCTCAGGGTTACCATCCACTCTCCCCTAAGCTTTGCCTGCATGTATCTGATCTTAAAACCTTGTGAGGGGCCAGGATGGAGCTTAGTTGGTACAGTGCTTGCCTACCATTCCGGAAGTATCGTGTTTGATCCCTAGTATCTGGTATCTGGCACGTAATGCCGGCATCTGGGAGGTGAAGGCCAGAGGATCAAAGGTTTAAGGTCATCCTTGGCTACCTAGCAAGTTGAGGCCAGCCTGAGCTACATAAGACCTTATCTCCACCAATAGACAACTATCACCACCAACAACCAAGAATCCTTATTGATTATACCTCCAAACCTTCCCCGACCCCATTCCTGTCTTTTCTGTTCCCCCCGCCACCTCCCTTAAGCCCTCAGGACCCCTCACCAGGTTAGCACAGGTCATTGTTCCCCAACATTCCACACATCTGTGTATATAATCTTTTCTGTTCTTTCATGCTCCAGCACTTTCCATAGCTGGCTTTTTCAACTTTGCAATTTTGACTGAAATATCACCCCTCAGAGGAGCTTTCCTAGCTACTCAAACAGTGGTCTGTCCTCTCACCGCAGTCTCCAATTAATCACTATTTTCTGTCAATGTACCATTAATGGAGCCAGCTTGCCAGTTGTAAATATGGCTTCCTCTGCTGGTCTTTATCTCTTTGAGGAATTCAGTCTGTTATGATCACTGCTAGAACCCAGTGTTTGAACAGTGCTTGGCAATAAGTAAATGTATGGGCTGAATGAACATGACAAGGTATAAATGTACAATTTCCCAAGAACACAGTGAGTCAAAATGTTATTTCAAATTTTGTACAATGATGCATATGCATGAAAATTTCATCATGAAAACCATTATTTTGACCAGGCAGTGGTGGTACACGCCTTTAGTTCCAGCGCTTGGGAAGCAGAGGCAGGCAGATCTCTGAGTTCAAGGCCAGCCTGGTCTACAGAGTGAGTTCCAGGATAGCCAGGACTGTTACACAGAGAAACACTGTCTTGAAGAACACCCCCCCAAACCTCCCCCCAAAAAGAAAAGAAAACCATTATTTTGTATGCTTCCTAAAATTCAGTCTTAAAAATTGGCTTTCCCTCTGTATGTGTGTGTGTTTGTTTTAGAGAAAAAAAACTTTATTTAGAGAGATGGAGAAATGGTCCATGGTTAAGAGCATTTGTTGCTGCTCTTACAGAGGATCCAAGTTTGACTCCTAGCTCCCACATCAATCAGGTGGTTCACAACCTCCTGCTAATCCTGCTCCAGATCTAACACCTCTAGGCTCCATGGACAAACACACAAGCAGAGGAATACACACAATTAAGGATAATTTTTTAAAAAATTAAAAAGAAAGTCTTTTCTAGGCTTTCCCTTTGTTACTCAGGACTCCACAGGGAGGCCTCTGCCTCTCCTTGGACTTCCTTGAAGTCCAGCACTCATTTCTGCCCAATAACATCAGGCTCCTCCACCTTCCCTGTCAACAAGCAGCCTGCCTGCCTCCAAGGAAAGGAACCAGCTTTTTAGGCCAAGAGGGCCATCCTTGCCTTGCAAAACAAAAACAAAAAAAAACAAACAAACAAAACAAAACAACAACAACAACAACAAAAACACTCTCTATCCTTAAGGCCACAAGTGTTACTTCCCAATAGACTTACTCTTTTTTTTTCTCTGACCCCCCCCCACACACACACACACACATGCGCTCCACTCTATGCTGCCTTTGTGTCACTCCCAAGGGAGCAGGAGATGGCAGGGTCAGGGTTTAATCCATCTGGGTTCCTAACTCCATCCTGTACCTGACTTAATGCTCCTTGACAAGCCCCAGCAAATGTTTTCCTTGGCTGAACATAATTGATGCACACACCCCCTTCCCAGCATTACCTAATTCTCCTCCATCATGGTTGGTTCCACCTGGCACAAGCAGCCTCCACCTGCCCCTTGACCTCAGGCCCATCAATCCGTCCCTCTCCTTCAGTACCTGGCTGACAGGGCCTCCAGATTGGCGCCGGTAGCCTCTGGCCAGGCCTGTGGGAAGGAGAACCTGCCGGGTGTTTCCTGGCTCGCTCTCCCTCCCTCCCCTCGCTTCCCACAGCCGCTGCCATCCATGCAGGGGCGACGCTCCGCGCAGCTGCGGCCCTGGCCCAGAGAAAAGGTGTATATCTCCGTGGCAACCCATCACCATGCAACAGGGTCTCCCGGGATACGGCCTGGGATGCGCTGACGTCAGCACCGAAGGCGCTAGCAAACCAGCCCGCTGGCACCAAGCAGAGCGGAGCAGACCGGCGCGGGGGCGGCCTGCCGGATAGCGCCTCCGCTTGCAGGAAAAAGGATCCGAAGCAGGATGGTGAGGCAGGAACGGGGAGGGGTCACACGAACCCTAAATGTGAACGCCCCCCCCCCAAGCCCAAACATGCACAGAAAAGGCGCAGCACCTCTGGCAAGTCCTGGCTGTCTACAGAAGAAGGACGCGGGGAACGGCTCCAGCCTCGGAGAGTCCGAGCAGATCCCAAGGAAGACAGAGAAAGACCTCGAGGGAGTTCGATCCACTCCACAGCCCAGGCAGGGTCTGAAGCCACTGAGGAGTCAGAGGAAAAGGTGTTCCATCTGGATCCCCACTTCTACCAAGATTCCCATTTTCATCATGTTGCCATGTCATTTTTTAGTACCCCTCCCCCATCTCAGACAATCTAAGACCACCACATAACTCTCCTGTACCCTAAAACCCCCTATCCCACATCTCTGATTTGAGGCCCTTTTGTGACAGCTCATTGAACATCTTTCTCTACAAATATTTTTGCCATCAAAACATACGATGAAGTCCAAACGAATTCTGAATCTTCCCCCAGTTTCTCAACCCTTGGAAAGTGCATGAAATTCTCCCACCAACACTGTCCCCATCTCCACTTGCCTTCTCCCCGCCTTCTCCCTTGGTTCTTCCCTCTCACCAATCTCAACTGGTCTATCACTCTGTTCTTTTCCAGTGGACCCATGAGTTTGTTTTTTTGTTTTTAAATTCTCACCCTTGTAAGTCATTTCCTAATAGCCCCAGCCTGCGTCTTCCTACCTCAGTCTGGTTCCCAATATCTACACCACACTGGTTTTCCTCTCAATATCTAGTGTGCCTTCCTCCTCAGCTTCCCATCACCTCCCAGATCACATCCATGGTCTCTGATCTCACCTCTGCGACTTGTCTGACAAGTCCATCTTCCTCCAGGCCCTTCACGCTGCCACAGAAACATTTTGCCCAGCACAGAAATCATAGGCATGCTAGCTGTGTTGATGCGGAGAACCCAAAGCCCGAACTGCTTCAGGCTCAGCTCCCAGTTCTATTCTTGTTTTGGCTCCGGATGCTGAGCCAGTCCCCTCCCCACTTGGAACTTGTGCCTAGTCACATAAGGAGAACACTCCTGCCTGTCTCATAGCTTTGAGGAAGTGGGAGTGCCAGGGGCCTAGCCAAGTTCTCTGGGGTTTGCGGAGCTGCAGCTCATCCTTAGCTTGCACAGTGCCAACTGGCCATGTACATAACAACTAACCTTTTAGCTGGAGCAGCAGCCGTCTCTGTCCCTGAGCCTCAGCCAGGTGGTGGTCCCCAGAAATGCTACCAACCAGAAAGAAGACAGGTTACTGGCTATCCCTCACCCCCACTAGTACCTAATCAGGGCTCTCAAGCTAGCCCTGAGGTCAGCCAAACTCTTTCCTCAACTCCAAGCAGACCAGAAAAATCACAGCACCCTGCTACTTCTCAAATTCGTACCCTACGAGGTTAATCCTGGGACTACAAATCCCAGAATTCATCAAGAAGTACAAATCTCAGCCAGAATTTAGTTGTAAAACACCTCATATATAAACCACACTAATGACTTTTGTGACTGACCACCTGCTTGGAAAGTCTAGGACCCATTCCAAATCCATTCCTTGACATAGAAGCAAGGTAAGCTGGCAAACTTCAGATGCCTGGAGCTAAAGCAGGGCACCCCCACGTGTCTACAGGGAAATCAAGGCCTGATCAGGGGTCACCTGCTTTGGGGAGAGCCAGTGGCCTGTTAGACCCCCCCCCCAAGAGTAAGGGTGATGAGGGCGTTAACAAATAAAATGATCTGTGAGCATGAGAGATATTATCAATTTGCTCACAGATGCTCCACATGGGTCTTCAGTCCCTTCAATCAACCAGCTGGTTCTGAAGCCGGGAACAAGTGTTAGGCAAAAACTCCATGGTAGGGTGAGTTCTTGGCCAGTATTTACAGGCTGACTCCTGAGGAGGACAGCACCCAGCGGGGAGAGGCAGCTTCACAGCAAAGAGCCACTCCTAAGACAGTGAGATGAGAGGTAGGTGTAGGCAGAGAGGAGTATGTAGATACAAAAGACTAGTTGCCAGGAGCCAGGAAGGTGGAGGCCGCAGGTTGCCCAGCGGATCCCAGGCTGTGTGCGCTCCTGCAGCCACCCTCAGCAGCAGGAATACAGACGGAAGGTGAGTATACCACGGAAAAACCCAGCGGAAGGCAGGCCACAGAAACAAGCCAGAGTCGGTTAGCCCCCTCCCGTTCGCTCATCTGGCCCGACCCGCCTCCCGGGCGCAGGCTCCTCCCTCTCCTTATACCAGCCCCCTCCTCACTGCCCCTTCCACCCACGGCCCCACCGGGTAGCTGTGTAGCCCGATTCCCTGTCCATGCTCCGGCCTCCGCCTCTTACCCTGACCGGCTGGGCGCCGAGAGCCAATACAGCCCATGGCAGGGCACCTAGGCACGCTAGCCCGTGTTTGGGACCCGGGCCATCGTCTTGCTGAGGGTCGGGCCGCG